TTTAAAATATATCTAACCTCTTTGGAAAATTCATAAAATCTTTAAAAAAAATATATATATAATCTCTTTGGAAAATGTATAAACTTTTTGAGAAATATATTATAAACTCTTTGGGAAGGTCACATCAATTTTGTGACGTCACTCCAGCACCCCGGTACTCTTCAAAATGATTCGATTGATTCGAAATATTTAAAAAATATTCTAAACATTTTTTAACGTAATGTAATCTATTGTTCCAGATACCTCCCTGGTTTAACTTTCTTCAATTAAGTGTTGTTTAAGTGACAAAAAAATCGTGTATGATATTATATAATGTGTAAATTATACTTTTCGATATTAATGATTATTTAATAATTTTTATAGTTTGTACGTATTAAGTTTTTTTTTTTTAATTTAGGTAGTATTGATATTTATTTTATGTAATATATTTATGGTTAATAAATTTATAATCTTAAATTCACCAAATCCAACTTTGTTTAGTTTTCAGAAATTAGTAATCATAACTTTTAAGATATTTAATACTTATTTATAGTCATGATGAAATAAGTTATTATTTCGTATTAACCTGTGAGAATTAATGTGTCAAAATATGACAACTAATAATTGCTTATAATGTAGTAATGATCAATAATACCTATGTTTTCAATGTTTTTAATTATTTTTCTACGAGGTGCACACATGTAAATATTTTACTATTCTTGCACTGCAAAATGTTTTCGTATCATACATATCTATGATATTGTATATAAGTATAAAAATATTTAAATGTCTTAACCTATACTATAATATATATTTTGTACCGAAGAATTCTCTTAACAAATCTTCCAACGCTAGCGACGTATGATAGTATGTAGATCACTGTTACCTCATACTTTCATCAAATAAAAAGGCTAATACCTAATGTAGCCAATGATTTTATAATATATACAAAACTATCTAATGCTATACTTATGCAACGTCATACCTACTATTAACACATGGCATTTTAGTTATTTATACATATATTGAATACTGTATTATTCTAGAAGTAGAATAACAAAAAATATTCTGCGATGATAAAATATTAAATACCTGTTGTGATATTTATAAAGAACTGTCAAAGTATGAAATTAAACAATGCAACAAATCAAATATTTTCTGATAAATTTTTATTTTTCGTAATGGAAATGTGCTAATATTATCTAT